TAGGGCGAAATGTAATTGACTTCTGTCTGTTGGCTTCTTTTACAAATATTAAGAACTGTAGAACGAAATGTGATTGACTTCTGTCTGTTGGCTTCTTTTAGAAATATTAACAACTGTAGAACGAAATGTGATTGACTTCTGCCTGTTGGCTTCTTTTGGATACGTTAACAATTGTTGGCCGAAATGTGATTGACTTCTGTCTTTTGGCTTCTTTCAGATGCATTAACAACTGTAGAACGAAATGTGATTGACTTCTGCCTGTTGGCTTCTTTTAGAAATATTAAGAACTGTAGGACGAAATGTGATTGATTTCTTCCTGTAGGCTTCTTTTAGATGCATTAACAACTGTAGGCCTAATTGTGATTGATTTCTGGCTGTTGGCTTATTTTATAAATATTAACAACTGTAGGCCTAAATGTGATTGACTTCTGTCTGTTGGCTTCATTTAGATGCATTAACAACTGTAGGACCAATTGTGATTGACTTCTGCCTGTTTGCTTATTTTAGATGTATAAAAAAATTGAGGCCTTAATGTGATTGACTTCTGCCAGTTGGATTCTTTTAGATACATCAACAACTTTAGGCCTAAATGTGATTGACTTCTGCCTGTTGGCTTCTTTTAGAAATATTAACAACTGTAGAACGAAATGTGATTGACTTCTGTCTGTTGGCTTCTTTTGGATACGTTAAGAACTGTTGACCGAAATGTGATTGACTTCTGCCTGTTGGCTTCTTTTGGAAATATTAACAACTGTAGGACGAAATGTGATTGACTTCTGTCTGTTGGATTCTTTTGGAAATATTAAGAACTGTAGGACGAAATGTGATTGACTTCTGTCTGTTTGCTTCTTTTGGAAATATTAAGAACTGTAGAACGAAATGTGATTGACTTCTGTCTATTGGCTTCTTTTACAAATATTAACAACTGTAGGACGAAATGTGATTGACTTCTGCCTGTTGGCTTCTTTTAGAAATATCAAGAACTGTAGGACGAAATGTGATTGACTTCTGCCTGTTGGCTTCTTTTGGAAATATTAAGAACTGTAGGACGAAATGTGATTGACTTCTGTCTGTTTGCTTCTTTTGGAAATATTAAGAACTGTAGAACGAAATGTGATTGACTTCTGTCTATTGGCTTCTTTTACAAATATTAACAACTGTAGGACGAAATGTGATTGACTTCTGCCTGTTGGCTTCTTTTAGAAATATCAAGAACTGTAGGACGAAATGTGATTGACTTCTGCCTGTTGGCTTCTTTTGGAAATATTAAGAACTGTAGGACGAAATGTGATTGACTTCTGTCTGTTTGCTTCTTTTGGAAGTATTAAGAACTGTAGAACGAAATGTGATTGACTTCTGCCCCAGTCCTTCTCTTAGACATAGCTGATGGAAATGAATAAGGGAACAGTTAGTCTCAGACACAGTAAAATGATTTGCTGTCATGGGTTCCAGGCCTTGTCTACCAAAAACGCGTTGGAAACAATGCACACACAAACAATCTCAACATCTGATTCTGACATGTGTTGAATTAGTATGCGCACTATTTCAAATAAAGTGACAGCAAAGCCTACTTCCCTATATTTTTCATTGTTCCCTTGTTTGTTTCCATCAGTATATTATTTAACAACCGTAGAACGAAATGCACATCTATCGTTAACAGTAAATGGATATGAATAAGTAGGAACTTATATTTTCTACCTTTATAATGCAAACAAAGTAGCGCAAAAGTGATTTTAGATGTATATATATCATATAAATAATCAACAGATGGTAATCGATTGTTCACAATTGGCACACATCATTGACATTGGCCCAGATTCCATATCGCACCCATGCAACAGGAGATGTTAAGGGTGAATGTCATGTGTTCTTGTATGACCACCACTAGAGTCCAAAACTGACTGACATCGTCGTCCCATGGTATCAGTCAGATCCCGAATTGTGGCCTGGGGAATGTTCACCAACTCTGCCTGCAGTGCCTGTGCCAACTGTCTGAGGTTCTGTGGTTGTTGCTGACGTGCTCGCTGTCGTTGATCCAGTGCCATTGCAGGACAATGATAATTTGATTCCTCAAAATAGCTGTTGTCAGTCTTGCTGTGTGGGGTCGGGCGTTTGTCTTGTTGGAAAATGACGATCACTTGTTGCCTAATGGAAAGGGCGTGTTGCCGAAAAATATCCGTGCAACGTTGTCCCGTTAAATTCCCTTGAACTTGCACCAATTCTGTTCTACCAGTGTAGGAGATGGCTGCTCATACCAAATCTGTCCATTTCCTGTGTTTAGTTTCGTGCATAACGTTTACCGCGACGCCTTGAACACGATGTATACCATCCGCACGACGAAGCATAAAACATGACTCGTCACTAAACCATACTTATCTCCATCGCAACTGGTGTGGTCATACTCTGTGACCTTGGCCGTGGTGGTTCTTTTATTTAAGTGACATAACCGTATGAATCTGTCCTGTGCTTTTATTATGATACGTGTTCGACCGGATGTGGGAAGGTCACTTGCCCAGTGTGTCTGATAACGGTTCCACGGTCTTGTATTGGTTCATGGTGCTGTGTGGAAAAACCTGGCTACAGTTGAAGATGATTCTCCTGTTTGCAGTCGGGTGATGGCGTTGGTAAATGGCGTTGGTACGATGGGCTTCCGTCGGTCGTGTCATGGTTTCGCTGTTCACGTGTTGTAAGGTTGTGATGGCACGCAAATGAAAACCCAACGTTTGATGTTGCACGTGCATGTCATGTTGACGTGTTTCGGCGCCAGACTCTCACGTAGTTTTGTTTTTGCAGTTTCTCCATCTTTCAACCAAATTACTGCAATACCTCATTCTTTCCACACAAATCAAACCCAATACATGCAGAAATGACCAATTCATCTTTGGTATTAATTTTACATGGGTTTCGACAACACTCTGTCAGATATTTACGATTTTATTACGTTTGCGATCTTTTTTTGCAGAGTATATATAAGATCGGTAAAAGTCTTCAGTTAAAAAGATACGTACGAATAGTTAGCAACGTGTTTTATGTATGAATTGTTAACATAAAAGGGACGCGTACGCGTCAATGTGTTAAGGATAAGTATGAATTGTGCGTGGATACGCAGGTGTCTGTCATGGGATCGGTAAGGTCATTATCGTTTCAATTTCTGTGGCGCACTCAGTTTTAACTCAGGGCGAAAAATCAGCCAAGACATTTTTCAATATTTAACCTGGCTTGAGTTACAAATGTCTGCGACTCCTGATCGTAAAAATGTCATTGAAAAAACTTCTAAATACATACTGTGTAAGGAGACGGAGATATCCCAGGTGACAGACGCACTGTGTAAGGAGACGAAGATATTCCAGGTGACAGAGACATACTGTGTAAGGAGACGGAGATATTCCAGGTGACAGACGCACTGTGTAAGGAGACGAAGATATTCCAGGTGACAGAGACATACTGTGTAAGGAGACGAAGATATTCCAGGTGACAGAGACATACTGTGTTGGGAGACGGAGATATTCCCGGTGATAGACGCACTGTGTAAGGAGACGGAGATATCCCAGGTGACAGATACACACTGTGTTGGGAGACGGAGATATTCCCGGTGACAAAGACTCACTGTGTAAGGAGACGGAGATATTCCCGGTGACAGACACACTGTGTTGGGAGACGGAGATATCCCAGGTGACAAAGACTCACTGTGTAAGGAGACGGAGATAGCCAAGGTGACAGAGACACACTGTGTTGGGAGGCGGAGATATCCCAGGGGACAGAGACATACTGTGTAAGGAGACGGAGATATGCCAGGTGACAGACGCACTGTGTAAGGAGACTGAGATATTCCAGGTGGCAGAGACATACTTTGTTTGGAGACGGAGATATTCCCGGTGGCAAAGACACACTGTGTTGGGAGACGGAGATATCCAAGGTGACAGAGACGCACTGTGTAAGGAGACGGTGATATCCCAGGTGACAGAGACACACTGTGTAAGTAGACGGAGATATTCCAGGTGACAGAGACATACTGTGTTGGGAGACGGAGATATCCCAGGTGACAGAGACGCACTGTGTAAGGAGACGGAGATATCCCAGGTGACAGAGACGCACTGTGTAAGGAGACGGAGATATCCCAGGTGACAGAGACATACTGTGTTGGGAGACGGAGATATCCCAGGTGACAGACGCACTGTGTAAGGAGACGGAGATATTCCAGGTGACAGACGCACTGTGTAAGGAGACGGAGATATCCCAGGTGACAGACGCACTGTGTAAGTAGACGAAGATATTCCAGGTGACAGAGACATACTGTGTAAGGAGACGGAGATATTCCAGGTGACAGACGCACTGTGTAAGGAGACGGAGATATTCCAGGTGACAGACGCACTGTGTAAGGAGACGGAGATATTCCAGGTGACATAGACGCACTGTGTAAGGAGACGGAGATATTCCAGGTGACAGACGCACTGTGTAAGGAGACGGAGTTAGCCCAGCTGACAGAGACACACTGTGTTGGGAGACGGAGATATTCCAGGTGACAGAGACACACTGTGTTGAGAGACGGAGATATTCCAAGTGACAAAGACTCACTGTGTAAGGAGACGGAGATATTCCAGGTGACAGGGACGCACTGTGTTGGGAAACGGAGATATTCCAGGTGAGAGAGACATACTGTGTTGGGAGACGGAGATATTCCAGGTGACAAAGACTCACTGTGTAAGGAGACGGAGATATTCCAGGTGACAGAGATGCACTGTGTAAGGAGAGGGAGATATCCCAGGTGACAGAGACATACTGTGTTGGGAGACGGAGATATTCGAGGTGACAGACGCAGTGTGTAAGGAGACGGAGATATTCCCGATGACAGAGATGCACTGTGTAAGGAGACGAAGATATGCCAGATGACAGAGATGCACTGTTTAAGGAGACGAAGATATTCTAGGTGACAGAGACGCACTGTGTAAGGAGACGGAGATATTCCAGGTGACAGACGCACTGTGTAAGGAGACGGAGATATGCCAGGTTACGGGGACGCACTGTCTAAGGAGACGGAGATATTCCCGGTGACAGAGACGTACTGTGTAAGGAGACGGAGATATTCCCGGTGACAGAGACGCACTGTGTAAGGATACGTAGATATTCCCAGTGACAGACGCACTGTGTAAGGAGACGGGGATATTCCCGGTGATAGAGACGCACTGTGTAAGGAGACGGAGATATCCAAGGTGACAGAGACACACTGTGTAAGGAGACGGAGTTATTCCTGGTGACAGAGACACACTGTGTAAGGAAACGGAGTTATTCCCGGTGACAAAGACTCACTGTGTAAAGAAACGGAGATATTCCCGGTGACAAAGACTCACTGTGTAAGGAGACGGAGATATCCAAGCTGACAGAGATGCACTGTTTAAGGAGACGAAGATATTCCAGGTGACAGAGACGCACTGTGTAAGGAGACGGAGATATGCCAGGTGACAGAGACGCACTGTGTAAAGAGACGGAGATATTCCAGTGACAGACGCACTGTGTAAGGAGATGGAGATATTCCCGGTGACAGAGACGCACTGTGTAAGTAGACGGAGATATTCCAGGTGAAAGAGACGCACTGTGTAAGGAGACGGAGTTATTCCTGGTGACAGAGACACACTGTGTAAGGAGACGGAGATATTCGCGGTGACAAAGACTCACTGTGTAAGGAAACGGAGATATTCCCGGTGACAAAGACTCACTGTGTAAGGAGACGGAGATATCCCAGCTGACAGAGATGCACTGTTTAAGGATACGAAGATATTCCAGGTGATAGAGACGCACTGTGTAAGGAGACGGAGATATGCCAGGTGACAGAGACGCACTGTGTAAGGAGACGGAGATATTCCGGTGATAGACGCACTGTGTAAGGAGACGGAGATATTCCCGGTGACAGAGACGCACTGTGTAAGGAGACGGAGATATTCCAGGTGACAGACGCACTGTGTAAGGAGACGGAGATATTCCCGGTGACAGACGCACTGTGTAAGGAGACGGAGATATGCCAGGTGACAGAGACGTACTGTGTAAGGAGACGGGAGATATTCCAGTGACAGACGCACTGTGTAAGGAGACGGAGATATCCCAGGTGACGGGGACGCACTGTCTAAGGAGACGGAGATATTCCCGGTGACAGAGACGTACTGTGTAAGGAGACGGAGATATTCCCAGTGACAGACGCACTGTGTAAGGAGACGGAGATATTCCACGCGACAAAGACGTAATGTGTAAGGAGACGGAGATATTCCAGGTGACAAAGACTCACTGTGTAAGGAGACGTAGATATTCCCAGTGACAGACGCACTGTGTAAGGAGACGGGGATATTCCCGGTGATAGAGACGTACTGTGTAAGGAGACGGAGATATTCCCAGTGACAGACGCACTGTGTAAGGAGACGGAGATATTCCACGCGACAAAGACGTAATGTGTAAGGAGACGGAGATATTCCAGGTGACAAAGACTCACTGTGTAAGGAGACGTAGATATTCCCAGTGACAGACGCACTGTGTAAGGAGACGGGGATATTCCCGGTGATAGAGACGCACTGTGTAAGGAGACGGAGATATCCAAGGTGACAGAGACACACTGTGTAAGAAGACGGAGTTATTCCTGGTGACAGAGACACACTGTGTAAGGAAACGGAGTTATTCCCGGTGACAAAGACTCACTGTGTAAAGAAACGGAGATATTCCCGGTGACAAAGACTCACTGTGTAAGGAGACGGAGATATCCCAGCTGACAGAGATGCACTGTTTAAGGAGACGAAGATATTCCAGGTGACAGAGAGGCACTGTGTAAGGAGACGGAGATATGCCAGGTGACAGAGACGCACTGTGTAAGGAGACGGAGATATTCCAGTGACAGACGCACTGTGTAAGGAGATGGAGATATTCCCGGTGACAGAGACGCACTGTGTAAGTAGACGGAGATATTCCAGGTGACAGAGACGCACTGTGTAAGGAGACGGAGTTATTCCTGGTGACAGAGACACACTGTGTAAGGAGACGGAGATATTCGCGGTGACAAAGACTCACTGTGTAAGGAAACGGAGATATTCCCGGTGACAAAGACTCACTGTGTAAGGAGACGGAGATATCCCAGCTGACAGAGATGCACTGTTTAAGGATACGAAGATATTCCAGGTGACAGAGACGCACTGTGTAAGGAGACGGAGATATGCCAGGTGACAGAGACGCACTGTGTAAGGAGACGGAGATATTCCGGTGATAGACGCACTGTGTAAGGAGACGGAGATATTCCCGGTGACAGAGACATACTGTGTAAGGAGACGGAGATATTCCAGGTGACAGACGCACTGTGTAAGGAGACGGAGATATTCCCGGTGACAGACGCACTGTGTAAGGAGACGGAGATATGCCAGGTGACAGAGACGTACTGTGTAAGGAGACGGGAGATATTCCCGGTGACAGACGCACTGTGTAAGGAGACGGAGATATCCCAGGTGACAAAGACTCAATGTGTAAGGAGACGGAGATATTCCAGGTGACAAAGACTCACTGTGTAAGGAGACGGAGATATCCCAGGTGACAGACGCACTGTGTAAGTAGACGGAGATATCCCAGGTGACAGACGCACTGTGTAAGAGACGGGAGATATTCCCGGTGAGAGACGCACTGTGTAAGGAGACGGAGATATTCCAGGTGACAAAGACTCAATGTGTAAGGAGACGGAGATATCCCAGGTGACAGAGACGCACTGTGTAAGTAGACGGAGATATCCCAGGGGACAGAGACATACTGTGTAAGGAGACAGGGATATGCCAGGTGACAGACGCACTGTGTAAGGAGACTGAGATATCCCAGGTGACAGAGACATACTGTGTAAGGAGACGGAGATATCCCAGCTGACAGAGATGCACTGTTTAAGGATACGAAGATATTCCAGGTGACAGAGACGCACTTTGTAAGGAGACGGAGATATGCCAGGTGACAGAGACGCACTGTGTAAGGAGACGGAGATATTCCGGTGATAGACGCTCTGTGTAAGGAGACGGAGATATTCCCGGTGACAGACGCACTGTGTAAGGAGACGGAGATATTCCCGGTGACAGACGCACTGTGTAAGGAGACGGAGATATGCCAGGTGACAGAGATGTACTGTGTAAGGAGACGGGAGATATTCCAGGTGACAGACGCACTGTGTAAGGAGACGGAGATATTCCCGGTGACAGACGCACTGTGTAAGGAGACGGAGATATCCCAGGTGACAAAGACTCAATGTGTAAGGAGACGGAGATATTCCAGGTGACAAAGACTCACTGTGTAAGGAGACGGAGATATCCCAGGTGACAGAGACGCACTGTGTAAGTAGACGGAGATATCCCAGGTGACAGACGCACTGTGTAAGAGACGGGAGATATTCCCGGTGAGAGACGCACTGTGTAAGGAGACGGAGATATTCCAGGTGACAAAGACTCAATGTGTAAGGAGACGGAGATATCCCAGGTGACAGAGACGCACTGTGTAAGTAGACGGAGATATCCCAGGTGACAGAGACATACTGTTTGGGAGACGGAGATATCCCAGGTGACAGAGACATACTGTGTAAGGAGACGGAGATATTACAGGTGACAGACGCACTGTGTAAGGTGACGGAGAAAGCCCAGGAGACAGAGACATACTGTGTAAGGAGACGGAGATATGCCAGGTGACAGACGCACTGTGTAAGGAGACGGAGATATTCCCGGTGACAGACGCACTCTGTTGGGAGACGGAGATATTCCCGGTGACAGACGCACTGTGTAAGGAGACGGAGATATTCCAGGTGACAAAGACTCAATGTGTAAGGAGACGGAGATATTCCAGGTGACAAAGACTCACTGTGTAAGGAGACGGAGATATCCCAGGTGACAGAGACGCACTGTGTAAGTAGACAGAGATATCCCAGGTGACAGAGACACACTGTGTAAGGAGACGGAGATATTCCCGGTGACAGACGCACTGTGTAAGGAGACGGAGATATTCCAGGTGACAAAAACTCAATGTGTAAGGAGACGGAGATATTCCCGGTGACAGACGCACTGTGTAAGGAGACGGAGATATTCCCGGTGACAGACGCACTGTGTAAGGAGACGGAGATATCCCAGGTGACAGAGACATACTGTGTAAGGAGACGGAGATATCCCAGCTGACAGAGATGCACTGTTTAAGGATACGAAGATATTCCAGGTGACAGAGACGCACTTTGTAAGTAGACAGAGATATCCCAGGTGACAGAGACACACTGTGTAAGGAGACGGAGATATTCCCGGTGACAGACGCACTGTGTAAGGAGACGGAGATATTCCAGGTGACAAAGACTCAATGTGTAAGGAGACGGAGATATTCCAGGTGACAAAGACTCACTGTGTAAGGAGACGGATATATTCCCAGTGACAGACGCACTGTGTAAGGAGGCGGATATATTCCCGGTGACTGAGACGCACTGTGTAAGGAGACGGAGATATTCCAGGTGACAAAGACTCAATGTGTAAGGAGACGGAGATATCCCAGGTGACAGAGACGCACTGTGTAAGTAGACAGAGACATCCCAGGTGACAGAGACACACTGTGTAAGTAGACGGAGATATTCCATGTGACAGACGCACTGTGTAAGGAGACGGAGATATTCCAGGTGACATAGACGCACTGTGTAAGGAGACGGAGATATCCCAGGTGACAGAGACATACTGTGTTGGGAGACGGAGATATTCCAGGTGACAGAAGCAGTGTGTAAGGAGACGGAGATATTCCCGATGACAGAGATGCACTCTGTAAGGAGACGAAGATATGGCAGATGACAGAGATGCACTGTTTAAGGAGACGAAGATATTCTAGGTGACAGAGACGCATTGTGTAAGGCGACGGAGATATTCCAGGTGACAGACGCACTGTGTAAGGAGTCGGAGATATCCGAGGTGACGGGGACGCACTCTGTAAGGAGACGGAGATATTCCCGGTGACAGACATACTGTGTAAGGAGACGGGAGATATTCCCGGTGACAGAGACGTACTGTGTAAGGAGACGGAGACATTCCAGGTGACAGAGACGCACTGTGTAAGGATACGAAGATATTCCAGGTGACAAAGACTTAATGTGTAAGGAGACGGAGATATTCCAGGTGACAAAGACTTAATGTGTAAGGAGACGGAGATATTCCAGGTGACAAAGACGTACTGTGTAAGGAGACGTAGATATTCCCAGTGACAGACGCACTGTGTAAGGAGACGGATATATTCCCGGTGACAGAGACGCACTGTGTAAGGAGACGGAGATATTCCAGTTGACAAAGACTCAATGTGTAAGTAGACGGGGATATTCCAGGTGACAGAGACGCAATGTGTAAGGAGACGGAGATATCCAAGGTGACAGAGACACACTGTGTAAGGAGACGGAGATATTCCAGGTGACAGAGACACACTGTGTAAGGAGACGGAGATATTCCCGGTGACAAAGACTCACTGTGTAAGGAAACGGAGATATTTCCGGTGACAAAGACTCACTGTGTAAGTAGACGGAGATATCCCAGGTGACAGAGACGCACTGTGTAAGTAGACGGAGATATCCCAGGTGACAGAGACATACTGTGTGGGAGACGGAGATATCCCAGGTGACAGAGACATACTGTGTAAGGAGACGGAGATATTACAGGTGACAGATGCACTGTGTAAGGTGACGGAGATAGCCCAGGTGACAGAGACATACTGTGTAAGGAGACGGAGATATGCCAGGTGACAGACGCACTGTGTAAGGAGACGGAGATATGCCAGGTGACAGACGCACTGTGTAAGGAGACGGAGATATGCCAGGTGACAGACGCACTGTGTAAGGAGACGGAGATATTCCAGGTGACATAGACGCACTGTGTAAGGAGACGGAGATATCCCAGGTGACAGAGACATACTGTGTTGGGAGACGGAGATATCCCAGGTGACAGAGACATACTGTGTTGGGAGACGGAGATATTCCAGGTGACAGACGCAGTGTGTAAGGAGACGGAGATATTCCCGATGACAGAGATGCACTCTGTAAGGAGACGAAGATATGCCAGATGACAGAGATGCACTGTTTAAGGAGACGAAGATATTCTAGGTGAGAGAGACGCACTGTGTAAGGAGACGGTGATATTCCAGGTGACAGACGCACTGTGTAAGGAGACGGAGATATTCCCGGTGACAGAGACATACTGTGTAAGGAGACGGAGATATTCCCGGTGACAGACGCACTGTGTAAGGATACGGAGATATTCCCGGTGACAGAGACATACTGTGTAAGGAGACGGAGATATCCCAGGTGACAGAGACGTACTGTGTAAGGAGACGGAGATATTCCAGGTGACAAAGACTGAATGTGTAAGGAGACGGAGATATTCCAGGTGACAAAGACGTACTGTGTAAGGAGACGGAGATATTCCCAGTGACAGACGCACTGTGTAAGGAGACGGATATATTCCCGGTGACAGAGACGCACTGTGTAAGGAGACGGAGATATTCCAGTTGACAAAGACTCAATGTGTAAGTAGACGGGGATATTCCAGGTGACAGAGACGCAATGTGTAAGGAGACGGAGATATCCAAGGTGACAGAGACACACTGTGTAAGGAGACGGAGATATTCCAGGTGACAGAGACACACTGTGTAAGGAGACGGAGATATTCCCGGTGACAAAGACTCACTGTGTAAGGAGACGGAGATATCCCAGCTGACAGAGATGCACTGTTTAAGGAGACGAAGATATTCCAGGTGACAGAGACGCACTGTGTAAGGAGACGGAGATATGCCAGGTGACAGAGACGCACTGTGTAAGGAGACGGAGATATTCCGGTGACAAACGCACTGTGTAAGGAGTCGGAGATATTCCCGGTGACAGAGACGTACTGTGTAAGGAGACGGAGATATTCCCGGTGACGCACTGTGTAAGGAGACGGAGATATTCCCGGTGACAAAGACGCACTGTGTAAGGAGACGGAGATATCCCAGCAGACAGAGATACACTTTGTTGGGAGACGGAGATATTCCAATGTTACAAAGAGAATTAGTCAGAAATGTAGATAACTACCGTCATCGTTATGCGTTATTTAGCGTCAGTCATGGCGTCACACAGGACGGACACTTTCTGTTGAATTTACCCCATCATATGATCATTGTAATGTATATATGTGTAATTCCATAATTAGTGCAACGATACTCTTCCCATGAATATTCTCAAATGCGTGATCGAGCCAATGTATGCAACAATTAGACGAAAGTACCTCTAAAAATGCTTCACAGTGTAAAACCTGAATATTGCTTTGTTTACATTTCAGCAAGTACAGTTTTCCGAGCACAGTTTTCGTTTCCATACCTAATTTATTTCACATGATTTCATCTAGATAATTTGCATTGGTGACAAAGACCATTTATCCATTGTTTCGAAAATGTATGAGGACTTCAGGGATGCATGTATAGCAGCTGAGTTTGAAATATACCTGATCGAATAGGCGTCTCATAACCGGCATTTTGTAAACACAATCCAATATGGCGGAACGTACATTTCGGCGTTCGTGTATGCGTATTTTCCAAAACATTCTAAACGATTCTAGGCTTATCAGCGACGTTTCAGAATTATCAGTAGTGATTTGATACCTGTGATCGCTAATATGCTATTTTTCTACTTGAAATATTCGAGAAAATATCCACTAGATTCTATTTAGATTTCTAAACACACAGTAAATATTTATATAACGCCGTGAATATTGTGATTTGGCGAGATTTACAGTGGATCTAATTTTCAGAAGTCACTTTCAGTAATTGCCTGAATTGCCTTAAATGACAGTAAATGATGAACAGAATTCAAAATTGTGAAGTGTATTAGTCTGCGTGATGTAGATCTATTTCGAATTTTATTCGATTTCGAAGTGAGGTTTGAAGAGGAGGGACATATGTGTCGCTGTGGCATCAAGAGGGTGCAGTGCACTCTGAACAAACGATAATGTTGCCATAACAACAGATAATGTAACTGATAATAATAACAAACAAACTCGCAGACGAGGACGAGTTTGTTTATTTTTATTGTTAATTACACGGTCCTGTTGTTCAATACAGACGTAGGTGAACATTCGACTGAAGCACGAGCAACTTATGAATGACTTACACTCAGGAAAGTAGTCCGTCATCATCTGACCCCAGGTCATCACCATGGAGTAGCCAATCACGGGCCTGGAATTCGATCTCACACATATGTTTGATACGAGTTATCTCAAATGGGTTTCTCAACCACAGGTGTGTAAGAAACTGACCTCTTCCTCTGTGTCCACGCTTAGGCCCTAAAAATCCTGAAAATTGAGCTTGCTCCTGAAAAACATGAGCTGAGAGTTGCTGTTGCTGTTGCTGTAACTCAGTCATTCCGGTGTGTAGCTCCTTAACCATAGCCTTCAACTCTGTTAGTTCACTCTTGGATTCCTTGGGCTCGGATGGTGTTGCCATGTTAACAGAAGCTGTCTTTGGCTTTGGCTTGGTCTTGGAGGTGTCGGCCTTGCCTCTCCTCAGATCAAATTCCATTTCCCTGAGGCACAAGCGCAGATCATCAAAACTATAGATGGAGTCGTACTTGTAGCCAGCCAGAGTCTTCAATGATGGATTGAGTCCATCCCATAGGCGAGTACGCAGCATGTCGTCCTGTTCAGCCTGTGAAAGGGATTTATGTTTAGCTGAAACATAAGGCGATCCAAACGGCAGCTCCAGGTAGCAACATCCTCATCTTCTCCTTCTGACATTAGAGTAGAACTTCGACGCAGAGTTCCAAAAGCACTTTTCAACTTATGTAGTAGAATTGCAAAATCCGCATGGGGCCCTAGCTTCATAGATATGATGGCTGCTTCTCCTTTAAGCGACTTCCTAATAGCTTGAAGGATGACGTCATGGCTATGGGCCTTGGTTCCAATAAGGCATTCCACTTCATAGATCCAGTGATCATAGTCAATCACGAATCGGAAACTGTAAATACAGTCATAAAGTTCACAACAAGGTGAAAGTTCAAAGTTCAAGGTCACTGCTTACTGCACAAGTATATAAACTGGGGAGGAAATTATAGTGTCAAGGAATGCGCAACTCACAATATCCACGAATGTCCATGAATATCACAAACAGATGTGGGTGTCCTGTATGGAAATGT